CCGCGGCCGGGGCCGTAGCTGCTCACCTCTCGGCGCCGGTGCCCTGCGGACGGCCTTGCCAGGTTCCACCGTGTTCAGTGCCCCCTCTTGCCGGTTTTTATCCGGGGTGTTGCGCTTACAGTGTTATCAGTGTGTCTTCTTGCCCCCCAACCCCGTACTCTAAGGCTTGGGACAAATGTCGGGTATTTAAAGTATAAAACCAGATTTATGGGCCACTGTTATTGATGCAAACTCTGGACGTCGTATTGTGATTTTGGCAGCAGACAGAATACAAGGAGGATTGGAAGAAAAATATCCCCCAGTGAGGGGTTTCTTATTCATCCGTATATAGTAAAAATATTTATTTAAAAGATGAGCAAGTCATAGAATTGTTCAGGTTGGAAAAGACCTTTAAGATCATCAAGTCCAAACATTATCCCAGGACTGCCAAGTCCACCACTAAATCATATCACTAAGCGCCTCATCTACACAGTTTTTGAACACTTCCAGGGATGGCGATTCCACCACTGTCCTATGCAGCCTGTTCCAATACCTGATCACCTTTCGTTGAAGAAATTTTTCCTAATAACCAATCTAAACCTTCTTTGGTGCAGCTTGAGGCCATTTCCTCTTGTCCTATCATTTGTTACTTGGGGGTACTCAAACTGCTTTTAGGAAAATAAAATGCCTTCTTAAATTTTGCCAATATAGCAGAATAAAGCTGTGCTAATTGACATTTGGTAACATTAAACTTCTGTTTTACTAAATTGATTCATTTCTTAGTGACTTTGGTATTTCTGGCAAATTTCATTTTGGTGTACCTACATTGCATGATGTATCTGCATTGCTCAGATGAGGAATGGCTAATAAAGTGTTAATGAAAAGCCATGTAGAAACAAAAAGTTCTTTGGCACTATCAAGTCACTGAAAAACTTGTTACTGTGCAGACTTGTGTTAAAGGTAAATTTAACTTTGTTTTTGGAAGAAGAAATAACATGCAGATAAGGAAATATGAGAGAGAAAATAGAAATTCGTGATGGGGCATGATTTGCCTGAAAGCAAATACGATTTCTGAATTAAGTCTAAATGAAAACATGAAGTGCAGAAAGAGCACAGTCATGTGGGGGCTTGCTCAGAAGCTGAGTGAGAGGTGTGTTCTCTTACCCAAATTGTGGTATTGACTGCCATCCCTGATGCAAAAGCCATGTCTGTATGGAGCACTCAGGAAGGGTAAGCCAAATTAACAGAAAGTATGCAAGAAACCATGCAAGTTAAAGTAGGTGAAAGACATGTATGCATAAAGTAATCCCAAGAGATTAACTAAAACAGACTAAGACCATTTCTGAGAACAGCTGCACAGAAGTTTAATGTGGTTTAACTTCTGCATTGAAAATGGTTTTACTCATTGCTTTATTTTTTTACATATTTTTTATCCCATAGTGATTTGCAAAGAGATTGTTAAACTGGTTAGGGAAAGAATGAGATGCATTACCAAGAAATAGGGAATTTTAATGAAGCCTGGCTATCACCCTGGAGAAGGGTGGGCTTGGAAAAAGCAAAGGTTACACTTGTTCCTTTGAGGGACCTCCAAATTAGTGATCTAGATCCTGCACTTTCACAGGGATACTGCACTTATCAAAGCAAATCAAAGCTCAGATGAGCTGGGGTTACATTTTTTCCCCACTCTTAAAAAGAGGCAAGGTGAGGTTCTTTTTGTATAGAGACATGCAAAAAATGCATGCGTAATAGAGAGTAACCAGAGTCTTCAATGTCTCTGGCTGGCATGAAAACTGAGAGTGGACTGAGTCCATACAAGATGGACAGAGGTGATAAGATAAATGACACTTTGACCTGTCTTCAGTGTGATCTTATTTGCAACATTTACAGGTCTTCATGTTTATATAAATAATACATTTTAACTTGCCTGTTCTGTCATTTCCTTAAAATAATTCAGTGTCTTCCTAACTGTTCTACCCTTCACATTCTTATTATTTAATCGAGTTAGGGCACTGTCTAACAACTGAGTTGCATGGGTCTGCCTTATGTTTGAATTCATATTCTGTGATTTTTTTGGAGCTCTTTCTCAAGTCACTTTTATTACAGTAGGAAAAAAATTACTATTGGAGTAATGATGTTCCAATTCAATGAGAGATCACATTTGTCTGCATTTAGTCATATACACTAACTGCATTTCTCCTTCCTTCCTCTTCCCCACGAGTGGCTGTTCTAATGATTAAAATATCTATTAGTGATACTTTTATTAGTGTATCAGGAGCAATTCTGATTATTAGACATATTAAAAACAATGACTGGCATTTGTTTAGCTGTGGCTGTTTATCATTATAGTTTCTAATAATACAGTATACGTTCTTCAATGTCACAGAATGAGATTATTCTAGAAAAGCCAGTAAGCTCAGACTGCAGAACTACAGAAGCAAACAAATCCACATGCCCTACCATGTATAATATTTCAAGCTGCCTCATTTATGAAGTAAGACTCATTAACTGGGCAATGTACAGTAGCTTTCTCTTTAATTACACAGTTTTATTATACAGTGGAATTATTTTTCAGAATGCAACTGTTTTCACAGACTGACCTTTTATTGTAAGAGAAGTTTCTGTCTAATGAAGAGAGGTAATTACAGCACAAAACTGACTTTTGACATACAGAAAGCTATTGTTACCAGGACTTTCCTAGTGCAGAATGTTATTTAAAAGAGAACTTAATTTACATATTTTAAAAATTATAGAGTTGCATATAAGGTAGCAGTGATGGTGAGAGACAAGCTAAAAAAAGCAGCGCTTGCACCTATCCTCAGATTGCTTTGTAGTTCCCACAGTAGACTGTGTAGTATATGTTGCACCTGTCAGAAAGGGTTCGTGGTAGCAAAATGAATGGTTGGAGAGGAGTCACTTTCTGACCTTCTGGAGAGTTTCTTCCTTTATTGTCTCCTTATTAGGATGCATGACCACTTTCCACCCAGCACAGAGATCAGCCTTGACCTTTGCATGCCTAAATATGAGAGAGAATTTTGCTTGAAATCTGAAGCATAATAATTCTGAGGGGCATTTGTTCTGACCACCACATCGAACAGCTCACTCAGCAGGATTTAAGTGTGATAAATGCCCTTGCCCCAGGTGGCTGATTTTTGCAGTAGAATTAAGTGGGGTGGTAAGAGTTTGCAGTAGAGTTTGCTAGTTATTCGAGCTCTGAATCCTTTTGCTGTACTTTGTAAGCATTACTCTCTGACAGAGGTGTCTCATTAAAATAAGAAATCTATAAGATTTGGAATATTTAAATTGTTTTGTTTACTTAAGTAAGCTATTTGGGTATGCATTCCCCACATTGAGAGCCTGAACTCCTTTAAATTGATACTGGAGAAGAGCTTAATCATTCCATGCTGGGAGCGAGGACAGGAGTTTTGCAAGAAGAAATCATTCTCCCCTCAACCACCTAAAGCCCTTTTATTTTCTTTTTTAAAACATCAGAAGGAGCAGATTTTGTTTGCAGTGTGTTTATAAAGGGAAAATGTTGTGAAAGTTTGAGCAGAAGATTTGGTATTGCAGAGTCCCAATAGCTATCTTCAGAGCTTTCTTCAGGATCTTTGCCTCTTAGGAGCTTGCTCGCTCTAGGTGGAAAACAAAACGCTGTGATTGACTATTCCCACAATGTGAACAGAAAACAGTTGAATATTCAGGACACAGATAGCCGGCAGTGCACGGTCTCTCAAACAGTCACAGAAATAGTTTGTTGTGACAGAATTCCTTTTTCTGTACTTCTGGTATACACCCCTGCATTTTTAGCGCAAAACTTGTTAAACTGTTTTCCAAGATCGGTTCAGTTCATGCGTTTAAAAGATCCTGTCCCTCAGAAAGCTTGTCAACACAAACTACATACAACATAACCCAATAAAGACAGTCTCTGAAGCTTCTTAGAGTACTGCCTTCATTTCCTGCCTGCCTTATTTTTCACACCTTTGTGTGTATGGTGGGAAGCAGACAAAAGTAAACCAAATCCTTTTATTAACTGTTCCTAACTCAAGAAGCTTGTATTTGTAACTATTTGTAGGGTTGGATCATATCATGGTGTATATTCTTGCTCTTGTTTCTTCACCTAGAGAAATGGGAATGTGAGTGGGAAAAACACCCCAGTGATGCTTCTGTATATTTTGAGTGTAAGTTCAAATACTATTTTTAGCCAAGTTACAGACTCAGGCAGACGGGCTTCTTAGACTGCCCATATTGTGTTCCTAATGATTGACCCATTACCAGTTTTTAATAGAGTTTCTTTGTGGTTAAGGTCATGTTTCATGATGTTGAGGGAAAAGATGACATTCTAGTTTTTGAAATGTTGTTGTTCTGTGGCATTTTAGTCTCTTAAATGATATTTTTCTTCAACTGTAGGTATTAGGGTTATTCTCAAGTATAAACATTGCCAGTTGTTCTTAAAGCTCTGAAAGGCTTTGCATTTGGTAATTAAATGAACTGCTTGAGTTAGTATTGTACTTTTCAGCCTTTCACATTTAATTAGCGTTCAAGTAGGAATTATGAACAATTTATATCTGCCAGGAAAAGACAAGACGTAACAAATTGTCTCCGTGCAGATGTGAAATTGAGGCAACCTTAGAGAGACTAAAGAAACTGGAGCGTGATCTGAGCTTTAAGGAGCAAGAACTAAAGGAACGGGAGCGACGTTTGAGGATGTGGGAGCAGAAGTTAACCGAACAGTCCAATACTCCTGTAAGTAGACAATAATTCAACCTTTCATCTTACGTCAGAAAGTATCTGGAGCTTTGTCTGTGTCTACGTGTGTCTGTGTGTGTCTAAAGACACACCAAGGAAATAGTGCCCCTGTTATCTTTAGTTGTTCTGTGGGCCAGCTACAGTCTATTTTGTTACATCACTGCAAATAACTGTACTATTTTTAAAAAATTTGGCTAGTTCATCACGTATCAGATATTGCTGATATTTCATATTGTGCCATGGGCGCTTAAGTAGTTTCCCATTGATTTAATTACAATTCTCAGCTTTAAAAATTGATTGCACTCAGTAAATTCATTTTTCAACTAGAAAGTTGTTGACTTTAATGGATGCAGGATTTGGTCTTAAATGTAAGAATAATTTTTTTCTCGAGAAGAAGGTTTGAGAGACCTATGTAAATTTTTTTTACTTCTTTGAGAAGAAGTAAGTTTTCATTCTGGGATAAAGGGGGTCAAAATTTAAAGTGTTAATTTAGGGCTTTGTTCATAATTACAGTTAACATACTTGTACTGGCCAGTTGCTAGCTGTTAGGATTGCCACATTTCTATTAGTAAATTGAACAAAAACCTTTCTTGGATTATCTTGAATTTCTTAATGGAATGTGATGCTCTTGAATACTGATTGGCAGAGGGAGGACCACAGGGTTGGTGCATGGCTAGACATATTACAACAGAGTTGTTGTTAAGAGGAATACTGCATTACTTGTTTTAAAGCACTAGCAAAAACAAATGCCAAATTGAGATTGCAGCAGCATATGATTTTTCCTATTCACAATTTTATCCTATTTACAGCCTTGATTCCAGCCAGGCCCATTTATATGCAACTTGTTTTTAAGGCATAGCTTATTGCTGTTGTTTGAATGAAGTTGCATTCGTGTTCCAGCTGTGAACATGCAGTAATGAAATCATGAAGAATTAATGTTTTACTATGTGCAGATACTGTATGTTCTCAGTACATATCTAAACGCCTGCTTTAGCGCTTGCAAACTTCCAGTAACTGAGCTGTGGGCCATCATCTATCCCGAGCACAGCATGAGACACAGCCTTAATGAGCAAATCTTCCCATGGGCAAAGCCCTAGGGTTTTTTATGCTGTACTTGCTTATGACTTCTACTTTTCACTTAGAGCTGGCATTGCTGGAAGAATAAAGCATTGTGCTGCGGCCTATTGTGCTAAGCATGAACTATCTTTCTGCATAACATTAACCCAACTCTCCTATTGCATTTAAATGCAATTTCTTCTAATAGAGAAATATAGGTTTGTTTTATTCCATGGATCTTTATCGAACTATTACATGGAACAGCTTTTAAAAAGCCATTTTGCTTGAAAAGAATTGACATACTAGCAAAAAACGGCTTGTTCAAGCAGGGTTGTTTTGGGTTTTTTGTCCATAGGAAATGAAGTTTTCCAAGGCACTGGTTACAAACACAACTATATTTTAAGTTCATAGCTGTAAACTGTTTGCAAAATAGCCCTGCGCATTGTGTTTGCAAGCTGTAACCCTTGGTGTGAAGTGTCTCCCCCCCTCCCTTGGTTCAGAGTGTGTCTGCTCAGCAGTATCAGACTGGAGGATTGCAACAGGGAGGTGCACTGCTTGATTTTAAGCTACGTTTGCTGTAAAAACAGTAGTAAAGATATGGCAAGCAGAGCCAATAACACAGCTTAGGGTGCCCACCAGGCTTATACCAGGTTCTTAACCAACACTAGACCTTGCTATATCTTAGCTGGTACTGTCATCTCTGCTCTATGCTCTGCAGTCACTTCTTTATTTTGCCCTGCAGTAAGCAAAGACCAGAGGCTAGTAAATACTATTAAAGTGGTGTGCAGGAGGGGAAACTTGAACCAAGTGAAAGGAGAACAGGGAAGCTGTCTCTGGCACTTGATTCTCCAGTGTTCTAGGGTTGGTAGAAGCTTCATCCTGCCATTCTGTATGGTAGGTAGCTATAAGTGGCAGGCTCCTCCTACTCCATAGAATAAAGTATAGCTTTTTACACATGTTAGCATGAGAGAAGTATGAGACTAACACTTCTGTGAAAGTAGTGTTTCTCCCTGCTCCTGTTTTAAATGTGTTTCTGCTGTGTCTTATAAAACAGACACCTTTGAGTCTGATCTCTGCAGATTCCCTTTGTGCAGATCTCCAAGAGCATCTTGCACAAGGGAATCTAGAGCCTTTTGGAGGAATAAAATATATCCACAGCTGCAGTGAAATGGGGGACTTCTTTTGAAAGAGGACCTGACTTTCAGAAGCTGATATTTAGAGGAAGACAATGAGCAAAGGCATGAAATCCAGATATTTATTTGTGGTGATCTGCATCTACAGGTGGTCATTTAAGAACAGTGGCTTGTACAGAGATTGGGGGACCCAGCCATCTATAAAAGTCTCTTCATGATAGTTATCATGAACTGCAGTATCACTGCAGCATCAGGCAGGTCCTAGCACAAAAAGCTCCTAAGTTCTCCGGATAACGAGATGGCAAAATATGGAGGAAGTAAGGCAATTGTAACTCACAAAATGAGCCACAGTTATGGCTCATTCACAGTTTACCCATTGCCAGGCATTGCACAGACACTGACCCAGAAATGTGTTTTAGCAGAAGGCTGTTCAGCAGTTTTGTTTAGCATCAGGGGATGCTCTTCCATGGATCTAAAGTGACTAAAACTCTGAAGTCATGGAGGAACTACCTGGCACTGAATTGTTTGTGCTGGGCATCTCGTTTCTGTGGCTAGATCTTTATTTTAAAATATTCCTTCTCTTTATCAGTAGGAGCTTTTGGTGTCCTTGATCCAAGTAGTGCTCTGGTGATGGTGCAGTTGTTTTCCTGTACAGAAGCTTAGCCGTAGGATGTACCCCCTCTCCCCGACTTCATAATTTTATTTTCATTTTTTAAACCATGATCACTCACTTTTGTTAACCACAACACAAATAGAAAGCCTATGTAAGAAGGGAAAACCCGAGAGGAACAAAAGACATATTTTGTCCTTTATAATGACTGGCAATTTGTCACTGTAAGTGGTTTTGCCAAGAAATGAGCACTCTTGGAGTAGCCTGGCCATGAAGTCTTCTGTATTACCAGGACATCACCATAATGACCCCAGTTGACCATTGTGACAAACTGCCATTGGCTCTTTGGTCAGTTTTCTGATTAGGTTAAAAAATACGTGGAACAAATTTTGGAGAGGTAATTTTGCAGACATCTTCAGAAAGAAAGGCCAGTTCAGGTGTTCACACACAGCTCCTTTGCTGTAGCTTTAGTAGGTAGTTTAGGATGAAACTCATGAGTTTTTACTCCCTGTGGACAACAGGCAAGCATGTCACAGAGATTACTAGCCCAGCCACTCTGAAGAGGCATTAATCATTATTTAGCTGGAGAGGGCACATTTCATTTGTTATTACAAACAGATTGGGTCAGGAAAATGCTGTTATCTGTAAAGATTAAATCAGTAGAGATTTAACATGATCCAAATGGCAGATATCTATTGGTATCACTAAAATAAAATGAAAATGCAACCAAGCTGAAGAAGCTGACAAGCTGACCAAACAGCCCCTCTTCCCCTGCCTGCTCCAGAAGCAAGGTGCTGGTGCAGGCTGGAGGCCAGTTCCTGTGTGTCCTTCGCATTGGTGAGAGGCTCGTTTCTGATTGCGGCTGTTGCAGGGTGACCCCTTCCTCTCCTTTTGAGCATATGCTCAGAACCAGTCTTTGCACAGATAATACTGCTGCTGTTACTTCTGATATTTAGAGGGCTGCTACTTCTGCACCAAACTTTGGGAGCTTTGGTTTCTCTGATCTTAACGTGACTTATTCTTCAATCCTGAAAGGTTCAGTTAAGCAACTCACTCTGACTTCTGTTGTACCCACATTGCCTTGTGAGCCAGTCTACCTGGCTGGGAAATGTCACATTCTGGTTTATGCTATACAAAATGAAGGATTGAAGAGTTTAAACCTTCTTTTGTCATGAAAGCTCTGCTACCTGTGGTTCTTGCCGTGCGACTCAGTGATTTTGCACTTTAGTTTAAGAACAAAGACCCCAGAATGAAGCTATCTGGTTTAATGAATTCTGACTTGATCTCCATGTTTAGATTCACTAATCGTGTGCTTTCTGTTGATTGCCAACTAATCTGGTGGTGTCTTTTTCCTCGATTTTTAAATTGGTTCTAACTTTCACTTTTGCTCTGTCCTTTCCTCCTTTAAATAGTTTTTCTTACCTCTTGCTGCAAGAATGTCTGAGGAGTCTTACTTTGAATCTAAAACAGAGGAGTCAAACAGTGCAGAGATGTCATGTCAGATCACAGCAACAAGTAACGGGGAGGTAGCTGGCATGAACCAAAGTCTGAAGGCCTTGATGATGACGGGCTTTGGGGATATCTTCTCTCTGAACAAAGCAGGATCTGTCCTGCATTCTGGAATGCAGATAAACATGCAAGCCAAAAAGAATTCTTCTAAAACCACCTCTATGAGAAAAGGAAAGAAAATCAACATGGCTTTGGGTTTCAGTGAATTCGACTGGTCAGATGACGATGATGATGATGATTATTTTGATGACACAGATGATAGCAGCGAATGAAATCAGTTATAGAATTAATCCTGAAATCAGTTTTAGCAAAGCAAAACAATAAAGTTTTAGAACAAGAATCCTGTCAGTTTGGTCTGTTAAATCCTGTAAAAGAAGAAAAAAAAATGTGAGACATTTTCCAGGCTGAGCATGTTTGTGTGTAGAAAGACATGTTGTTTTTGTTTAGATTGTGCTGACTTATTTCTGCTTTGATTAAATTTGGAACTAAACTTTCCAAATTAATTGAGATTATTATTATTTTAAGAACCATGATTATATCTATAATTCTTGGTGCCTGATTACAGAAACTGTGGCTTGATAAACTTAAGATCTGAAAACATTGGGGGAAACTTCAATGCCTTTAATGCCATTAATGTACTTCAAATTTTTCTTTTGTGTGTTTGTCATTTCCCTTACCCCTTTAATTGT